GGAGGTTTCTTCCAGGTCATGGTTCCCACAGAAGGTTTAATTTGTTTATCAAAGGGAAAATAAAGACCTGGAAGAGGCTGGATAAACACTGATGAAATCCTGGGCACAAAGGGGAGAAGCAGATGCCATGAACCCAAGTGAAACAGGCAGGGATGGAGAATTACACCAAGTATCAACAACTTGGTGTCCTTGTGCTCCAAACAGTGTGTGTGGCAGGGGCTCGTTGGTGGTGGGACTGTGGTTTTACCTGCTTTGCCATGTAACCAACCTATTTTTAAACCTTGAGTGAAGTTGTTTTGAAGGGGAAGAGCTCAAAAGAGCTTTGCTTCCTGTTTCTTTTGAAGGCATTTTATGTGTTATCTCGGGCCCAGGTCCTTGCCTGGGTAACTCCACAAGTTACCTCCAGATCTTTCTTTAGTTTCAATAAATTGAGATGCACCAGGTTTTCCAGGCTTCAGTTGTTCTTTGTTACTTGAATCCTTACTGGCAGCCCAGCATCTTGCTGGAAGATCTTACGAGTCTTGGTAGGTAGGAGCAATTTGATAAGCTGGAAAAACATGAACTCTTCGGTGACAAAAAAACATTTGTTAGCTTAACTCCTTCTTGGACATGTTGAGGAGCATCTCTGGGAGGAGAATGCCCAGTGGAGTGAAGCCTCTTGCAGAGCAGCTGTGCCTGCTCTCTTCAGCAGGGGTATTGCACCATCTTAGCACATGTGGGACAAGTGTCTTGACTGTCTGGTGGCTTCTGCAGCCACACAGTGAATTTTTAATGCCCTGGTCTGGTCATTCTGCCATACCTGGATCATCCACCACTTATGGCAGGGGTGTGAAGTTACCCCAGAGGGAGCTGGGAACAAGCAGGCAGGTTCTCTTGTGACAGAGACTGCTGATGGCCAGGAACTTGCTGCAGGAAAAGCGTACTGAGCTTGAATTTTGACCTTTAGTTTGGGAGATGTATGAAGGGTCCTTTGACATTTCACTTCCAGCTTTTCCCATGGATTTAGAGGTTGCTTTCCACCTGTTAAGTTCTCTCAACACAGCTGGACCTTCCTTTGTAGCCCTTCAGCCCTGGGACAGGTCACAACACACTGTGAGGGTGGTGTCATGCCTTCTGAACAATCTGAGGAATTTTCTCCATGAAGAGGAATGTTTTCCCCCCACCTGCGAGAGGCTTTGTGCTGCTCTTCATCTTCTGGAGGGGCTTGTGGCCTTGCTTTGCTGGTTTATTTGAGGTAGTTGAGTCTGTGTGGTCTCTCATGACTTGCTGATGCTGGAGATGTGACCTCCTGGGGTACATCTTGCTGGATGTACCTGGGGTCCAGGCTGCTGCACTTTGGGCTGCACTTGAAAGTTGGGCCTGTAGGTGGGTCAAGATGTTCATCCCCATCACACTCTGAGTTTGATTTTAGGCTTGAGTGTTTCTGAAGGTGAAATTACCTACTCGAGCATGGCCTTCACTGCTCTGAAGCAGTGATGGGTTTTTAAAAGCTGTTCTTGAGCAGGTCATGTCAGGAGAAGGTTGAACCTTACTCATGTGCCTCTGCAAGCCGAGCTTGATGCATCCACCCCATCTAACCTTCCTGGAGCCAAAAGCCCTTGGCTGTGGGGGGTACAGACACGGCAGAGTTTGAGTGGTTGTCATCATCTCAGCACTGCGTGTCATGGGGTGGTTTCCTCACCTGGCTGGGCAACAGCCTGCCATAGCGAGCTTTGTTCCCTCCTTGTCCAGGCTGACCTGCAGTAGTGCTGCTCAGGATGGGCCACAGAAATAAGGCTGCTGGTGGTGATACCCTCCATAAGCCTTGTGTTCTTCTGCCTTGCACACATCTTGTGACCTTAAAGTTGATGAGTTTTAAAAAAAGCCGTCAGACGACTGCAGTCAATCCTATCATAGAATCATTAAGACCTCTAAGATCATCAAGTCCAACCATCAACCCAACACCACCATGCCCACTCAACCATGTCCCAAAATGCCGCATTATGCATTTTTTTAACACCTCTAGGGTTGGTGACTCCACTGCTGCTCTGGGCAGCCTCTTCCAAAGCTTGACCACTCTGAATAAATAAATTGTTCTTAATACCCAATCTGAACCTCCCTGGTGCAACTTGAGGCCATTTCTTCTCATCCTGTTGCTTTGTGCTCCCAACAATCAATTCAGGAGTGAAGACTTCAAGAGCTTTCACAGAGCTGGTCACCCTTGTGTGCCCTGCTCCAGGCTCCAAAAGCCGTATTGTTTGCCCCAGTAGAGCTTCATCTCATGCTGCTTGTGAGTATCCTGGCATGACGAGGGAGGAGGCTGCTGGTGCCACCATTCTTCATTGAGGACCTAAATCCAAGAGCTTGAAGTCAAGTCAAAGAACATCTTTGGAGCTTAGAGTGTATAATTTCAGAATTATAAGTTGAAGGGAGATGATCTGTGTTCAGATCATGGGCAGAGCTGCAAACAATCAGCAAAATCCTCCAGCCTGTGCAGACCCTGGACAGCTTGCAAGAGTGATGAGCCCACCAGAGTATCGCAGTCTTTATTTTTGCCTCCTTTTTGCCTTGCTCCCTTTAATCCTTTTATTTGTCTCTGTTAACCTGATGATAATTTATTTTCACATTAAAATAAGTTTGCAGCCTGAATGAAAGAATTGGAAGCATTCCAGGCCAGGTTGCATGGAGCTCTGAAGAGCTTGTTCTAGTGGGAGGTGTCCCTGCCTATGCAGGGGGGTTGGAACTTGATGATCTTTAAGGTCCCTTCCATTCTATGATTCTATGAATTAATTACTACTGAGCTGCTACCCAATGTGAAATAGATTTGCCATGGATTTTGAGCATTCCAAAGATGGCTTGGCCAGGGTTATGGACAGTTTTTTGGTTAACTGTGCTGGAGATTGTTTGTTTATTTCAATTAATAAAATGAGCCAGAGGTTCTGAAGCTGCTGTTAACTCCTGGTTTAGCCAGGGAAGATGTCAAAACTGGGGCTTGGGAAATGTATTTTCCAAAAAAATCTGACTTGGATGGACACCAAATGATGACTTTGATGACACCAAACTGTGTGGTGAAGTCGAGACACTGGAGGGAAGGGATGCCATCCAGAGGGACCTTGGCAAGCTGAAGAAGTGGGCTTGTGTAAAGTGCATGAAGTTCAACAAGGCCAAGTTCAAGGTTCTGCACCTGGGTCTAGGCAATCCTAAGCCCAAATTGCACAAATACAGGTTGGAGGGAGTAAGGATTGAGGACAGACCAGAGGAGAAGGACTTGGGGGTAGTGGTGGACCAGAAGTTTAACACGGGCCATCAATGTGCACTTGAAGCTCAGAAAGCCACTGTGTCCTGGGCTGTATCAAAAGAAACATGGCCAGCCAGATTCTCCCCCTTTACTGAGCTCTGATGAAGTCCCAGCTGGAGCACTGTGTCCAGTTCTGGAGTCCCCAACATAGGAAGGACATAGAACTCCTCAAGTGTGTTCAGAGGAGGCCACAAAGATGATCAGAGGCTCCCCTATAAAGACAGGCTGAGGAAGTTGGGGTTGTTCAGCCTGGAGAAGAGAAGGTTTCATGGTGACCTTATAGCAATTTTCCAATATCTGAAGGGGGCCTACAAGAAAGCTGGGGTAGGACTTTTTACACGAGTATGTAGTGAGAGTACAAAGGGCAATGGTTTGAAGCCGAAAGAGGGGAGGTTCAGGTTGGACATTAGGAAAAAGTTCTTTCCTGTGAGGGTGGTGAGATGCTGGAACATGCTACCTAGGGAGGTTGTAGATGCCCCCTCCTGGGAGGTCTTCAGGGCCAGCTTGGATGGGGCCTTGAGCAACCTGATGTAGTGGGAGGTGTCCCTGCCCATGCAAAGGGATTGAAACTAGATGATCTTTAAGGTCCTTTACAACCCAAACCATTCCATGATTCTATGATTTTTAGAAAGAGTTGGGCTGTATCACTTTGATTTGAGTTGCAAGGAGAGAAACGGAGTGAAAAAGCTGAATTTTAACAAGCAAATGTACCTGTACCCCCAGCCCCAGGGAACCTGAACCAGTTTGCTTCCAGTGGAAATCCACAGGTTTCATGGCTGGGTCGCTGGGTCCGGGTGGACATGGTCACTTAGTTTTTATCCCACAGGCAGACAGGGACTTGAAATCTGGTGGTGTCCACCCAAAGAGGATCTGCCTGTTTATCCCAAGAGGGAGCAAAGGTGTAATTGGGAAGGTTTCCACCTCAAACCATTGAGTAGCTCAGGTGCTTGTGGCTTTTTGTGTGTTGATGTTGCTTTTATTATGTATTTTGTGGGAGGTTTTTTGAGGAACAGCAGGGTCAAACTGAGTAGTTTTGCTTCAGCCCCCAGGGCTCTGAATATCATGAGGAAACCAGTTAGAAGTGTGTTCCTGGTGCTGTTAAACCAGTGTCTGAGGAGCATTAAGTGGGTTTGAGCTTTTGGGGTGTGTAAAAATGCCTTTTGGGGGAAAGAAACAAGTGGTTTTTGCAGCAATGTCTGCTTGAAAGCCCTCCTCTAGAAAGTGGGGTGACAGGACCAGCTCTTCCCAAATTCCTCTTTTGAGTTCCAGAGGTGGCTTTTCTGCTTAAGCTCCAACCTGAGCAATCTAATCAATTTAACATGAAAAAACCCCCACATTTTTTGACACATTTACCAACCCAGAACCCATCAAGATCCAGCAAACCTGGAGCACCTAATTATCTTCCAGGAGCAGAATTTAATCCACAGTGAGACGTGTGTGTAAAGATGTTTTTTCACCCCCAGACGTGTGCTGCTGTGGATTAGGAGATAAATGGTGACAGAAATGGTAGGCTTTGATGTGACCCAGCATTGTGGGGTACTGAAGGGATGGATCCCCAAGAGCAGAGCAGATTTTTGCAGCTGTCTGAGAGGTTTTGGCCTCAGAACTTAATCAAACAGAGCCAACTTAGCCTCATTTCTTACAGAACTGCTTGCTGCTGAAGGCTGGGAACGGGGAGTATTATTGATTTGACCTCTTTTAAATTTCAGCAGCTTCACAAGAGACTGAGTTAGTAAGGAATGCAGAAGATGTAAGTAATCTCTTTTCTTGGCTGACTAGCTTAGGCACCTATATTTTGTACCTTGTGTCTTCTTGCCAGTGTGAGGAAGGTTGGAACCTTTTTGCTTTGGGGACTTTCCCTTCTCTCTCTCTCTCCTGCCTGCTTCACCTTTTCTAAGCTGTAGGCACCACACCAGCTCTGCTTCCTCCTCCTCATAGCTGTGTTTCCCTGCCTGGTTGGTGTTTCGAACTTGGGATCTCTTGGTATTTTTATTAGTTTTTTTTCCTACATCACACAGCAGACCTGGGGATTATTATTTGTTTGTTTGTTTTAAGTGAGGGAGAGAATAAATCAGTTAAACCTGACAAACCTGTCACTGCTACACAGCTTTGTCTGGTGTTGTAGGTGTTAGCTCCCCCACCTGGAGTACTGTGTCTGGTTCTGGAGCCCCCAAGAAAAGAAGGCCGTGGAGCTCTTGGAGCACGTCCAGGAGAGGGCTATGAAGATGATCTGAGGGCTGGAGCAGCTCTGCTCTGGACAGAGGCTGAGAGAGTTGTGGGTGTTCAGCCTGGAGAAGAGAAGGGTCCAGGGAGACCTTAGAGCACCTTCCAGTGCCTGAAGGGGCTCCAGGAAAGCTGGGGAGGAGCTTGGAACAAGAGCAGGGAGTGAGAGGACCAGGGGGAATGGATTAAAACTGGAAGAGGGGAGATTTAGGTTGGACATGAGGAGGAAATTCTTCAGTGTGAGGGTGGTGAAACACTGGCCCAGGTTGCCCAGAGAGGCTGTGGCTGGCCCCTCCCCGGGCGGGGTGGAAGGCAGGGTA